ATGTAACGCACCCATCGAAATGGATTCGTAGCTTTTTCTTTATTAAATACTTTGAGATAACGAATTGTCATCCCTGAGCAGATGTACATTGGTATCTCGAAATCAAGGCTAAAAAAGAGAAAATAGATGAATATACCTTTTTTAATTTTTAGCCATGAATATCAAATTTCAAAAAAGGAAGAAAAAATTAGAACAGAAGTGCTCGTACCTCACGGGTCCAATTTCTTTTCTTGCAGTTTTCAACTTTTCTTTTAAATTAATCTGAAAGAGAGCAAAATTTTGAAACCATTTCCCTATGCACGATTCAGAATTTGGGATATATTATTATCAAGTCAAAAAGAAATGATTATTAAAGAAGTTYCTATTTTGGCAAACAGTGTACTTCGGCGCTAGATTCGGATTAGCATGTCTTGAAGGCGCGCGCGCGCGTGTGTGTTGGTGGGGCGTGGGAGGGGGCTGCGTGTAGAGCTACTGACCTTCATACATATTGACACCTCGGCTCTGCCCTGGATTTTACGAACCGTCCAGTAGAAGGTCTTCTCTGAAGGCTTGTATTCCCCGGACTGTCCAGATTGTGCGATGGTATAAGAAACACTGGAAAAACCAGAGTTTTGTTTAATGATTTATACATAGGCTGCTATCAATAGACGTGATGGTATCGTGTGGATTTTTAGAGCAGTTTTCGTATGACTGCGAAAAGCTCGCGGGAAGAACGCGGTCATGACAAGGGAAGGTATGCGCCAGATCAATGACAATGGACAAGAATGTATTTTCCATCCAATTAAATAACCGAAACACGGCATGAACAGGGCGTGGACACGGTCACGCCAGGTCACGGTCACGCCAAGGTCACGGTCATGCCAAGGTCAAGGCACTGTCAGACCAATCATAGAGCAATTTTTGTATGACTATGAAAAGCTCAAGACACGAACGGCACGGTCGTGACACAACAAGGCATACGCCTGACCAATCATATTGCCCAATTTTACCCAAGTTACTCACTATCCAATCAAATGCCCAAAACACGGCATTAAGAGGGCGTGAACACTGTCACGTCAAGGTCACGACACTGCCAGACCAATCACATTAAGCAAGAAAAAATCAGCCAATGAAATTTCTAGAATACATCCGCGGTCACGGCAAGGCACGCACACGGCACAGAGTTTTTCACAGTCATACAAAAACTGCTCCAACCATACTACAAATTGTCAACTGATTGGTCCTGAGAGGGAGGGTGTAGGGGAGGGGGGAGGGGGGAGGAGTATCACGTGATGTTGGGTACTCACGAGTCTGTTGATTTTGRAACAGGAATTCTAACCACGACATTGTTACCATAACTAGAAAGTGAAAAAATGTATATATATGCATATTATACCAAGCTGCAGACTTTTGGTTGAGAATGAATATATTACGTATCGTTATTATTGGGTATTGAACTGAGAAACATTTCTACCAAACTTTCGGCAATATTTTTTTTGTAGAAATGCTACTCAGTAGAAAGGTAGGGACGTCGTATATGGTACATTATTTTATTCTTACCAATAAACATATTTGACGATCCAAGTATTTGTACCATACATAAAGTAAAGGCGCTGAAATACGAGACACAAAAACGTCCAACTTGTCACGCAACAAAATCTTTTGTTGCAAGTTGGGAAAACTTGTTGCAAAAAGTAGAACGTAGATCAACTTTCTGCAACAAATTTGTGATTTGTTGCTGGTTTTTCATCACTCGTCCAACTTGTCACGCAACATTTTATGTGCAGAAGCGGCCACCATCTTGAATTATGCAGCTTGTAGCCAATCAGCGTGCAGAGTATCACCGTGATAGTCTCTACTTGCAACAAAAGATTTTGTTGCGTGACAAGTTGGATAGATAGGGTGTAAAACGAGCAACATTGTTTTCGAACTTGCACCGCAACAATATTGCGCGACAAGTTGGACGTTGTTGTGTCTCGTATTTCAGCGCTTTAAGATTTAAGATATCGAACGTGGCCTATTAATGATAGAAAGTACTGACCTGCTTTGCGCGATGTTACAGCGAAGCTTCAAGATGACCTCCATTGATCTGAGAAAGAAAGAATAAAATAACTGAAATGAACCTTAACCACAGTTTATCACCATTTCAGACCGCGTGTCGTTCCCTAGAGTATCATTTCTTTATTTAACGGTTGCGCATGAGAAGACACATGAATATGGATACAACTCAAACGAAGAATGTTATTCACAAGAGAATGACACATGGTCCGAAATGCTCAAGAAAAATCGAAGCTTGGGCCACCTGTGTCCATCAGTAGACCATGTGTCATTCTCTAGAGTATCATTTCTTTTTTTAACATTTGTGCATGAGAAGATACATGAATATAGTTACAACCGAAACAAAAAAATTATTCTCTAGGGAATAAAATGCGGTCTGGAAAAAGAATTTCATTCACAAGAGAATGACACGTATTCTGAAATTGGCAAGAAAAATCGAGGCTTGGGCCACCTCACGTTACCAACAACTACGTTATGGGTTAATTCCTGAGATAAGTGAAACCCCCTTACAATGACCTTAGCAGTAAATAACAAACCAAGTCACCTGCACAAAATTCTTACTTACTTCGTTGCTTCATGTTCGTCAACAAATGTGACAAGGTTAAAAGGCAGAGCAGAATGAAGATCACCWGAAATCCTATACTGCATCACAGTAACCTAAAATCAATCATATTCAACTTATTCAACCTACTCTAAAACCTGCTCTATACTTGTCAGTTTGTCATAACGATGCACGTGCTTTTCCAGCTGCAAGCGTCCAGGATTTCTTTAGGTTTTCTGGTTTRTCAGGACTTTTTTCATGCATGTGAGATAACTAAATAAATAACTTAATGGATGGTGTGTCTGGAATATTTTTCATTCCATGTGAGGTCGAATAACTTTTTTCATGCCAAGTGAATTAAGTACAAAAAGGGGAGACAAAAGGAAAATTATAAATGAATGAAAGGGAATGGAAGAAAAGAATTAACAAAAAAGGTAATAATTGAGTGTTTTTGTTGTAACTAGTAATACTAAATGCTGGCAATTATGAGAAAACAAATTTAAAATTTATTTAGTTTTCTTTTAAACCTTGAGTAAAATAATGAATGCTTCTTAAATACAGCGAGGTCGGAAATTAATTTTTCCGAATTTAATTCCAAGGGCTTTCGCCCGGAATAACTTCGTTCCCAAGCACTATAACTTATCTATATTTCTATAGCTTCTTAAATACTGTTTGTTTGAACCAGTTCAATTTTGTATATTTAATCAAGCCTTGATAGACGACAAGATGAGCTCACTTACTTCACCATCGGTTGGAGAAACAGCCAACGTCTTTGTTGAATCAAAATCTGTCAAGTCAACTGACTCGTGGAAATTACAGTCCTTGAGTTGAACACCGATGGAAGATACTAAAAAAATATAGAGAAAAAAAATTATTTARCTATGGCATTTATACAGAGTAGCTATTCATATATGAATCGAAATTCCAATTGGAATTTAGATATTGATATTCATGAAGGGAGGAAAAATAGCAAAAACCCTTGAAACACAGGAGAGAACCAATGAGCAACTCTACTCACATTGGTAGAGTAATGATAAAAAGGTAAATTATACATATTCAAGGTGTATAATTTACCTTTTTATCATAACTGTTTCATTAGAAACACCGACGCAGCTCACACTAGTTTTTAGCTAGTTATCTCTTCACATTGGTGAGAGGTGTGTGCTCTTACCGCTACGCCACAGTGCTTCCCATCAAAATATTTTATTTCTTCCTCTTTGAAAAATAAATTAAAAAATGAAAAATAAAGGGACTTAGTAGTGGCTTTTCAAAAAGTGGTTCTTCATCCACTGAAGTCTTAATGGAAACTTGGTGGAGGCATGAGAATTGGTCAGGAGAATCTGGTAAAAAACCCTTGAAGAACAGGTCAGAATCAACAACCAAAAAGCAACTCTACTCAAGACACCTAATTCGATTTTCAACAACAGACCTAATCACTGCAATGCCATTAATGCTGCCTGCAATGAATTGCATCAGTTGCATCATGTGTTTCCTGCGATTAATATGTACATGTACAAATAGAGTGCTTGAATTACCTGGAGAGAGTACGTCTGTTGATCCAATGGTCAGGTCTTCATTCAGTGCTATCCTGACATCTGGTCTTCCGATCAGAAAACTCTTCATTTTAATACAGCCATCAATNCACAGGAGAGAACCAATGAGCAACTCTACTCACATTGGTAGAGTAATGATAAAAAGGTAAATTATACATATTCACGGTGTATTATTTACCTTTTTATCACACTGTTTCATTAGAAATACCGACGCAGCTCACACTAGTTTTTAGCTAGTTATCTCTTCACATTGGTGAGAGGTGTGCGCTCTTACTGCTACGCCACAGTGCTTCCCATCAAAATATTTTATTTCTTCCTCTTTGAAAAATAAATTAAAAAATRAAAAATAAAGGGACTTAGTAGTGGCTTTTCAAAAAGTGGTTCTTCATCCACTGAAGTCTTAATGGAAACTAAGTGGAGGCATGAGAATGGTCAGGAGAATCCAATAAAAAACCCTTGAAGGACAGGTCAGAATCAACAACCAACAAGCAAGTCTACTCAAGACACCTTATTTGATTTTCGAAAACAGGTGCAATCAGTGCAAGGCCATAAATGCAGCCTGCGATGAATTGCATCAGTTGCATCATGTCTTGCCTGTGATTAAATGTACATGTACAAATAGAGTGTTTGAATTACCTGGAGAGAGTACGTCTGTTGATCCAATGGTCAGGTCTTCATTCAGTGCTATCCTGACATCTGGTCTTCCGATCAGAAAACTCTTCATTTTAATACAGCCATCAATCTCCCTGCGTAGAATATTGCCCTTCAACACGAAGATACAAAATTCAATGTTATCCAAGTAATATTCAAGTCAAACCCATGTTAATATTTAGCTTTCAAATGGAATGCCAACCACTATGAAAAATGTGGGTTCACCATTGAAAATAGATGGTGAGAAGTGTGGAGGTATGGCTAAGGTCCCCCCCCCCCCCCCCAAGTCCTTCCCTTTCTGCAGTCTCTGTTTCTTAATGCACCTCTAGATTAGTTTGCATTTCTCACATATAACTAAAAGATAGATAAATATAAGATAAACTGCAACCAACTATATAAACTATTGCTCACAGAATAAAGAAAATGATCAATGATTACATTTGATCCAATGAGCACTGTGAGGCTCTCCAAAAGGTCCACAAAGATCTCATTTTTCTGGCTTTTGAAAAACTGTGGAAGAAAAAGATTATTGGTTAACATTATATCACTAAATAAAATATCAYAGTCAGAGCACAAGTGAGGTCATCCATTTTCTCTCTCACTCACTCACTAATCCATACATTTCCATCTGTCTTTCTGTCCGCCTCACACTCGCCTACAGCTTTTGAGTCTGCTTTTCATTGTTGTATAGACTCCCAGACAACTCATCATGCCTATTATTTTAACTCATCATGCCTATYAATTTAACTTATTGTGCCTATTAAATTACTTAATATTTTACTTTTCTACCTTGTTCTCATTGGTTTCTTTTGTCTTATTCTCATGATATAAACACTCCTTTCTACTACCTCTTTCTCTTTTACTGCGACGAAGGACTAGCGTCCGAAACATCAGTAATTTTTTTCATCTTTTCACGGTGTAAAATTTACCCTTTTATCATTACTGTTTCATTAGAAACACCGACGCAGCTCACTAGTCACTAGTCACTAGTTTTTAGCTAGTTATCTCTTCATTTTACTTTTCTGTAAATTTGCACACTAACTCATCATGAAAAGCCAACCATCTACCCATCTATCCATGCATCTATCTATCTATCTATAATCTATCCAATTTTTATTATTATTTTAAAAAATCCATTGAACATACAAATTAATCACACTTTCCATCTATGGTTTCATCCACCCATTCACTCACTCCTCTGCAATCTGCCTGTCCTTGAATCCATATCCTTAACGCCTATCCACCCATTCATTCATTTAACTTTTCCTTCTTTCTCTTTTTCATCCAGTTATTCATATTTTACCACAATCTTCATGATTTTTGTCCACCAACCTTTGTATTGTGTGGTATAACAGGTTTATTAGCTGCAGAACTTGGAAGTGACATTCTTTCAGTACCATACTAAATAGAATAGAAAATATTACTATTTGATATTATTAAACCATTAATAATTTATGAGGAAAACACAACAGAAATCACAACCGTGAAGAGTTTTGTAAATCAGATACAGGTTCAGTTTACTTTGACCTACATGTACGCATGGTTAGAACTGTTTGTTCTGAGTTATTCACCCAGTAAGGGGGTTCTATTGAACTTTCTTTGATTCTCATGGTCATAATAGTTGAATAAACATTTTCACCAAACGCTTGTCTCATGTGGTTAATCTAATCAAATTGTTAGGTGAAGTAGTGATCTAACATTTATCTTACCACTGTTCCACCACTGCACTGCCATACTGACTGATCAGAACTACCCACCAGCTCCGGCTGATTGTACACGTACGCTTTCAAGGTTTCAGTTGACATTACTTGTAAGTACCCAAAATCCTACCAAATAAATTAATTAATAAAACACCTGACAAAAATACAAAAATTTTGTTAGATTTCAAGACGTTTAAGCCATCATTGTAAAATTCATATAGAAGATATGAAAATGAACTCAGCATTACACATAAGCAGAATTTGTCAGGTGTATCTCCCTTGATTCAAGTTTTTTTTTCATTACTACTACTGTGTAGTTGTTTGTGGGACAATATTTTTATTCCACTAAGAAAACTGCTGCAACAATGATTGGTTTGCTAATGTCAGAGGGATAACTATGAATAATCCATTTTACAGTTCTGTTCAGTGAACATGAATAATTATAGTTCCAAGTCGAGGCTGGAGTTTCAGTGCATAGCAAGACAGCAATATTTTTGTCATGCACTGCAACTCCAACCTTGGCTTGGAACTATTATTCGTGGTCACTGAATGGAGCTGTTAAATGGAATTTATTTCTGGTATTCCTCCTTCTGCAAGATCTAACCAGTTAAATTTGAATTTTATCTGGGTTAGCCAATAAAAATGACTAGGCTTTGATCAACCCAGAAGTTGAATGTAAGGTTTCAATGACATTTGAAGGTTTTGTATATGTAATAGGACTCCATAATTGGATGAGGCCGTAGGCTGAGTCCAATTTGGCAGTCAGAGGAATTTTTCGTGTCTAATTATTTCTTGATTCACTCAGGGGAGCATGAAATCCCATTACCTATTAATTATATAGCTGCCTAATTAATCCCATATCAACAAGACCTGTCCAATTGAGAAAATGATTGGACAGTTACCTATATGGGATTAATGAGAAGCTGTATAATTAAATTGTTAATTCACCATTTTCCATACATAGGTTCACTGGTCAAACACAAAGTGCTCAAACGAGGCGCAAAGGTACTTTCAAAGGATTATTCAAATTTGAACCTTGCAACCTCGACTGAATGCTTTGTGTTTGACCAGTGACCTGATGTGTGGAAAATGGTGAATTAAACAAGTGATAGTCTGACGTTACCAGGATTTCATCCAGTAGTTCATAGATCAAAGGAAAGTTACACTTGATTGCTTCTTCATTCARAACACCACAATAATCTGTACACAGACTGCAGATTCTGAAAAATACAGTCAAGGAATGAGAACCCATTCCATACTAGCATATCTAAAATGGGATTTCCATTTTTTTTGCTAGTAAATAGAAGGAATAATTTGTCACAAAGTAGT